AATCACTACCTGCTATGTAAAGATGTGCTGCTTTTTATCTTTGTTAAGCTGATCTCAATATAGTTTCATCACATTCCTCATTGCTACAATATTTTGACATTTGGTGAGCAATAGTTCTGCATTCACCATAATCTGTTCTAAGGCTTTTATAAACTTTTATCATATTACCCCCTCAGTCTTCTGCTCTTCAAACTAGAGAGTTCCAGCTTTTTTAGTCTTTCTAAAAGCAGCTGCTCCATCCTCTGAATCACCTGATTTGCCCTTTTCGGTACCTTCTCTTAACCCTGTTTCTTGAGTTGGAGAAACTAGAACTGTCTGGTACAGCAGTTTTTTATATAGAAGCAAAATGACATCATCTGTCCTGGTTTTGTTACTTGGTGACAGCCAAAGATTTTTGGCTTTTCTGGCTGTGGTTGAGCATGGAGAGCTGTGAACTGCAACTCTCAGATCTCTTCTTCACTCAGGTTGATGTGAGAATGTTAGTGAAATTTAGATTATTTTTTTTTCCCCATAGCAGAGCCTCTTACATTGACTTGGGCTCAAGCTCACCTTCTGCCTCTTTACCCTCTTGCTTAGTTTTATAACATCCTTTGAGTTCCTCACTATTGGCATGGAATTTGACTACTCAAAAGAGTTTAGTATTTTCTGCAAATCTGAAGATTTCATTGTGTAATCCTTCTTTGGGTCACTGAATTTGAATAAACCTGATTCCTTGCACATTCAGAAGGGAGAGTGACTGTTAAACCCTACTTGTGCTTCCTATCCCTCAAGCAACTTTCAGTCCACAAAAAGTCCCTTTTCCCAATTCTATTCTAACTTAATTTCTTCAAAAGGCTTTGGTAGGAAGCCTTGTCAAAGGCTTTATGAAAATCCAAGTCCACTCGATCTTCATTTATCTGCATGCTTCCCTCTCCACCCCCTGAACTCCCTGCAGGTAGCAAGGCCGTATTTTCCTTTACAAAAGTTCTGTTTAATTTTTCCCATCAGATGTGTATGAGCTCAGCAATATTATTCTTTTGTATGGACTCTACTGTCTTACCAGGATTGGAAGCTAGTATCAGTGGTCCTTTCAGGACTTTCAAGGCTCTCAAGGCTGATGCCATCTGGTCCTTAGAGATTTGGCTGGTCTCATACTTCCTGTATGTGTGCTTCATGTTGACGTAGCTGTTCTCATGTTATGAAGGACATGTTATGTGAGATACCATCTCATCATCTTCATTGGTAAAGACAGGTGCCAAGAATTTGATGAGCTGCTTTGCTGTGATCTTCTAATCCTTAAGTATCCTTTTCATACCTATGTTGAAAAATGATCCTGCCAACCCCCTAACTGACTTTCATCTTTCAAAGTATTTAAGGAACATTTTAGTCTCAGCATGAGCATCTGTTGCAAGGTGATCTTAAAATTCTTCTTCACTCTTTTAATTTCCTGTTTACATTTGACCTGACCTGTTTTATGGCCTTTCCTGTTCTCATTTTCATTCTCCTCACTTTCAGAAATTTCCTGAAGTTCTTTTCTTCACTCTTCTGACACAGTTGAGCAACACATCCATTTATGTACCTGAAAAGTAGTAGAGGGCAGAGTTTTATCTTTAATAATTCAGTGTTTAAGTTTGCAGTTGCCAATAATGCATCCATAGTCAGTTTACAGACTAGTTTAGAATATTTTCTCCTTTATTTGGGTCTTTCTAGCAGCAGCAGAAGTAAAAAAATTGACTTTTGCACAAATGTGGGACTTTACAAACTGAGTTAATTACAAGTAAGGCAATGTGGTTGGTTGTCTTTGAAATGAAAACTGTTAGTTTTCGATCTTCAAGTGTTTTATACTGAATATTTAAAAATCTGCTGATATAAAAGAAGACATCTCTCATTTTTCAGTAATCAAAATACTCATTTACTTTTGCAATTTATATTATGGTGATATAGAGTTGCTTTCAACATTGTTGGATAATTGAACACATAGATACACCTTTTAATTTTATGAAATGTGGCTATGATTTTTATAATAAGATTTCTTCAGGAAAATATACCACTGGGGAGCACTGTGATGTAATATTGTGACTGTAGTATTGTGAATTATTTTCCTGATTGTTAAAGGCTAAAGTAGTAAAGATTGTCAGTGATTCTATAATAGTGGTTCTAGTCTAGTCTATTCTATTCTTATTATAGCCCCATACTTCTGGAGAGGTGTTTTATTATGAGATGATACAAGATGCTGTATGGGAAAGTCAGAGGTTTTGGCCAGCAGATGAGAGGTGATTCTGCAAAAATGAGGAGTAGTGTGGGATGTGCACTTCTTGTTTCTCCTAAATTACAGAAGGAAAGTGGTTAATATAACTGGCAGTGATTATTGCTTATGCATCAGATTTAATGTCCAGCTGAGATTAATTAGAAGAAGGTTTCTCAGAACAGCAAGATCTTGGAGCACTGTCTTAATTGCCATCGGGAGAGGAAAAAGTACCAATCGCTTTCTTAAGGTGTGGCTATAGCCTGGTCAATGCTTTTGAAAAACTTTACGTGACCTGGTTGTAGGCAATAATGTAGACCCAAATTCAACAACCTGAGAGGTCCCTTCCCATCTCAAATTACTGTAAGTGCTGTGACTTGATTGAGGAAAGCATTATTAGCAGATTACCTAATGACTCAGTTGGCAGCTGAAAGGTTTTTTTGGTGCATTTTAACGGCTTAATGAAGTTAATTAAGGATATTGGGCCAAAGCTTTCTGCTCAATTTTGATGCCCGCAGCCATGGAATTGTCTATTTAAGATGCTCAGACCTCAGCCCAGTATATCTACTGGTGGTAAAATGTAAACTTCAGAGTTATACTTTATGAAGTGCTTACATTTCTTAGCTAAATGCTTACCAGTCTGGTATTTTTTTACCGTTTTGATACAAAAATACATTCTGTAGCACCTGCATGGTTATTTACTGCCAGCTTTAGGGAGTTAATTTTAAATGGCTGATTTACAAAATAGATTTAAATTTTAAGTTATTGGTTTGTTTTCAGGGGTACTGGTGTTTTAAGGGGTGGGTAGAAATAGGGGGAAATGGCTTATGTAGGCATAAAAATGACATGAAAGAGTTAGTTAATTCTGTACTGAGTAATAGCTCAAGGTGTAAGGAGATTTATATTCTTTGGACAGATTTTAAAATTCCTGAGAATATTCAGTATAATGTGTGTTCTGTGTCTCCTAGTGCAGAGTGCATTTTAGGGAACGTAAATTTTCTTCCATTTTGGAAATTTTTCAGTAAGTCAGTGCCTGCCGTGTGTGTGGAGTACTGTTTCCTTGGGACTGAATTTCTCTGGTCTTACATCTTCCAACCTTTGATAAACACACAAGTCACCTACTCTCATCCCATGTGATAAGCTTCTGAAATCTCGGAGCACAATATGAAACAGAAGTGCAGCACAGCTACGACAAACAGCTTTGAATAAGTGCTTGTATTCATTAACTGATTAAATCCATTTATATCATGTAAAGCTAGCTTATCTTAGGGTCTGGTCAGAAAATTGCAAGCAATCTTAAAATGGTGTGTGGTGAGCAGAGCCTTTCACCTGGGTATTGCTGCCCCTTAGCTAGAGCAGGAGAGCTGACTGAATGAGTTGGTCTAGGTTGTTGCCATGTGAAGTGAGATAAATCCAAACTTTCAGCTGTGATGTTTCATCTGAGAGAGTTGCTTTTTCAAGAGAATTAATTCAATTGCTTTGTAATTGTTGGGCCATATTCTTAGTTTGTGACATTAGGAGTATCTAAATGAAGGGTGGGATACGTGTAAGTGACAGCAATGTTTCTCATTTCAAGGAAATTGTAGGAACATTAAAGTGCTTTCTGCTTTTTCTGTATTTTTATTACTTACATTAAAGTTAAGGAGAATTTGACATCTGATAACAGAAGAAGGTGTTTATGAACTTTAGGTCTTGGTTAAGTCTCTAAAAGAATAGAGAGTCTCTGATAGAATAACTTCACATGATGTTTATATCACATTATGCAGAAATTGTATTATAAGATACACATCATGTTATTACACTACATATTGGAAATATTCTGGAAATAGTGGAGACCATTTTAAAATATAATATCCAAATGTACTTGCTTTTTCTCATACCCTTTGTGTGCTTCAAAGCTGAAGAATATTAATTGCGAGATTCATGCATTAGTATGCTATGTCATGTCATTTCATCTGATTAAGTGGAGAATTTCTGTAATCAGTTGGATGAATCCCACACACACTGGCAAAAGCAGCGTGCACGTTTAAAATATACCAATTTGTGTCTTACTCATTTCAAAAAATGGGGTTTATGTAGGCTGGGTTCAGCCTGCATTGGAAAGGTTTGGGTAGGTGAATCGTTTTTTGACCAAAAATATTTGCCTGGTAAAAATATCCCTAACTGTTACTGTTTTCACACTTCCCATATAAGAATTATTCCTAATGGTAAGCTGATTTCACACTGAAGGCTTCAGTTCAGCAACACACTTCAAGTCATGCATGACCTGCATCGTACTGGATCATTCCCTCTATTTTAAAGGCATAATTCATGTGCTTGAATCAGACACACGTTTAAGTACCTTGTTGAATTAGTGCCTATATAGAAATTTTTTTTTCTTCTCAACATAATCAAATTTGGAACTGGAAATGACCTTGTGTAGATGGTTTTTAGCATTTTTTTTCCTGAATTGTGCCTCTATCAGTTGTTGCTTTAATATCTGTGGGCTTGTAGCTATCCAGACAATTGAATTGTTTTGTGTTCATCTTCACAATAATTATATGCCTCTCGACTGCCTTTCCAGTATACATGTAAAATTAGCATCTTGCCAATGTTTAAAAAATAGCAATGCAAAGTCTAGTTGTCCAGAAAATTAGTCTCAATTTAATGTGGATACAAATTTAAATTGGCAGTTATATGAGGTCTAACATAAATTTTAAAAAGTGTAACTTTCATCTATATGCATAGCTATTTAGATATGTATTTACATTCTCTTCTCTATTTTAATATTTTTCAGACAAGTATAAAAGAAGGATTACTACTGAAGCAAACCAGTTCTTTTCAGAGGTGGAAAAAGCGTTATTTCAAACTTCGAGGTCGTACCCTTTACTATGCTAAGGATTCAAAGGTAATTCTGTGCTGTTAGTGTCTAATACCATAAACTTGTAACTTCAATTTTGTTTAGATTTATAAGTGTAATAATTATTGTTGTTGTTGTTGTTATTATTATTATTTAATGATTTGTTAGTGATTGTTTTATTTTAAAACTGCTGTATATAAGATGTAGTGTGCTAAATTAACTTTAACAAAGGAAGACCAGTGATGTCTCTTAATTTTTTTTAAATGAAGGTTATCACAGTTATTTTAACCTTTTTGACTCTTCAGACAAATAATGGATTCATTTTAAGGAGTTGTGGGGCATTTTTTAGGGCATGGCTCTCAGGCAGTCAAATTTAACATTAAAAAAAAAAAAGTGTAAAAATTGGATAATGCTGAGAAGTTATTTGTCAAACTGAATTCCATTAAAGCTCTTCTAGTCTGATGCCCATATTGCCATTACAGAGGTGGAAATGGTTATGCGAAATCAAGATAGGAAGACTTTCTGCCAAAATTGATACATAAGGGAAAAAGCTGTTTCCCATCAATTGAAGTTTTTGGTGGGAAAATTGGGAGTGGGCAGAGGGGAGTACTTACCTTCTTTCTGAAAGGCATTTCCTCCCTCCCCTTCAGGGCCAGGACCGAGAGCCTTTTGCCTTGTTGGGCTGGCTCAGCCTGTGCTGTTCCGTAGCGGTGGGCATGATGTTTCTTTACCCTGTGGGGTCGCAGTGACTTGTGGGAGCTGTAGGTGAGGTGCTTCAGGTCTCCGTCATCTTGTATAGCCTGATCATCTCAATAAAACTACTAAGGCATGGAGACCTCTCTTTTTAGGACTATATGACTATAATTGAATGGTGCACAGTTGTGTGGCTGTGATGAATCAAGGAAAACATTGTCTCTCCAGGGAGCTCAGCACTGATGTACCTCTGTTGTAACACTTCTCTGCACATGGTGCTACCACGAGCAGTTTATATAAAGACTTAATAAACGTGGAAGATAAGAGCTCTGAAAATAACAACGTCATCTGTGCCATAAAGATGAGACAAGGAGATGTAGTGAGTAGGCAATTGTACAAATGCCCTGTGATGTTGAGTCCAGACATACTGAAACTCCCCCAACATTGATTCTCCTTCCCATGGCATGGAAGAGGAAGAACAAAGCATGGCTGAAAAAAGGGGGAGACATTTCTGTTGGTCTTCCCTGGTGTGCTTCAAAACCCATCATGAGTTCAACAGAACCTAATAATTCTTTTGCCCGAGGCTGAGGTGTTTAGGGAAGACATACATTTCTCTTGCTGGAACATCACACAAAGGAGTGGAAGAGATCCCTTCAGACCTTTGAGCTCCATTTTCTCATACGAATACTGTATCATAGATTCCCCTTCATGAATTTAGAGTTCCATCCTAAAGCTGACTGATTAATTTATATTTTACCAAATGTGAATCTGTTTCATCTGACACCACATTTATGCTACACAGTAGACACTCCAAAGCTACATCTATTTAAAAAATAAATTTTTAAAATAGATTTTAAAACAATATATATTTTTGCAGCCACTTTTTTGTGCTCTCATGTACCACTTAGACAGAAAATAGGACTGTGTTTCGGGGTCAAATAGGAAGTTTTATCACATCATAAGCGTTTTCTATTTTTTTTCACTGCTTTTGTTTTCTTTTTTTTATTTTCCAATCGGAATAGACACAAGGAAATGAAAGCACAGACTGTAAGCATGCCTGAAAGTGGACTCAGACTATATTTAATGTTTTTATGTTCTTTTCCCTTCACAGTCTCTAATATTTGATGAAGTTGACCTGTCAGATGCCAGCGTAGCTGAATCAAGCACAAAAAATGTCAACAACAGCTTCACGGTATGGAACCATTATAATACTGGTCTTGAAAGCTGTGGATAGACTAAGAAAATCAAGAATCCTCTGAAATGCTTCTTTTTTTTCTCTATTTGGAAATAAAATGTCCTTTATTTGGAGATGGTATAGTGTAGAACTAGCTATGAGGAAGACTGTGGATAAAGTTGTCCTCCTAAATGTCTAAAGTTGTCCCCCCGAAGGTCTTAAGTTCTCCTGCTGACTGCAATGGCATGATTTTTCTTAACCTGCAAATACCATTATTCTATATTGAAATGTTGATTTTCCATTTTCCTGAGGATTTTAATTTCACAGGTGATCCATGTTACTCGTGTTGGTTGTTCTTCTCCAAGGCAGTCCAATGCAAGCCTCCTGAAAGCTTCATCAGGTCGTCTTCCTTGCTGTGGTGCCTCCCAGATACCTACTGAAATAATCGGAGCACTTCAAACGTGTTCGTGTTGGCCTGGATAGTCCAGCGTGTTTGTCAATCTAAGTTTCTTTACAAGTTCTGCTTCTGTCTTGCTCCTGTGGAGAATTAAAGCTGTCATGCAGGCATCAGGATAGCTGAGGAGTAATGAGGCATACAAAGATGATGAGTTGAAGATCCCAGCAGTCATGACTGTCACTTAGTGTTCAAGATAGGATATAAGACTCAGCATCTCTTAAAAACCCAAACTTCCTTCGCTGTAAGCTGCCATTACAGGAAAAAGAAAATTAAGAAACCTCTGGCTTTCATGTTACTACTGATCGCTGAATCTTGAAATAAGACATTCATCTAGAGATCTAGATAGACCAGAGAACTGGGAAATCACTAACTGTATGAATTTTAACAAGAGCAAGTGCTGGGAGAAGAGGCTGGAGAGCAGCCCAGCAAAAAGAGATCTGGTGGTTTGGGTTGATGGCAAGTTGAATATGAATCAACAGTGTAGCCTGACTGCCAATTGTGTTGTCCTGGGGTACATCAAGTACAGCATAGCTGGCTGGTCAAGGGAGGTGGTTGTCCCACTCTGCACTGTTGCAGCCCCACCTCAAGTACTGTGTGTAGTTTTGGATGCTTCAATATAAGAAGGACATCAGGCTATTAGAGTATGTCCAGATGAGTGCAACCAAGATGGTGAAAGGTCTTGAGGGCAACACTTGTTCAGATTGGAGAAAAGAAGGCTGAGGGTGCCCTCACTGCAGTCGACAACTTCCTCAAGGGGGGCAGTGGAGGGAGAGATGCTGATATCCTCTCTCTTGTAACCAGCAATACAATGTGAGGGAATGCAATGAAGCTGCATGAGGGGAAGTTCAGGTTGGAAGTCAGGAAAAAGTTCTTCACTGAGAGGGTGGTTGGTCAGTGGAACAGGGTCGCCAGAGAAGCAGTCATGGCACCAAGCCTGTCAGAGTTCAAGGAGCATCTGGATGATGCTCTTAGTCATATGATTTACTTTTAGGTAGTCCTGCGAGGAGCAGGAAGATGGACCTGATGATCCTTATGGGTCCTTTCCAACTTGAGATATTCTGTGGTTCTATGATCTTGGTGTAATTTTGTATGGAGGAGATAAGTGCCATGTTTTGGTTTTGTTGGGGTTTTTTTGGGTTTGGGGTTTTTTTTTTCTTTTTCTTACAATGTTTGGTGGTTTTATATCTTTCAAGCCCACTCAGTATCTCATTCTTCACCAAAGACATCTTTTGTATCTAGTATCAAGACTTCTGGGGAAGACGGTAGTGAGAAAAGAAATATTGGGGGCAACCAGCTCTAACAGCTTTGCAGACACTATTTATTTTCATGTCCTGGGTAATTTAGGACAAACAGTGTTTTCTCTAAGGAGTCTTCAAATAGATTTTGAAAAATTATTTGGATTTGTACCTCTCCTGGATTGAAATGTCATCTGATTTGACTGTGAAATATGGTAACAGTCGTCATCCCGCTTAATCTTTTGGCTTCTTTCTTTGTGTTTGCCTAACCTAGTCTCCCAGCAACACAGCTCAGTGAAGTAAGACATCTCTGGCCTTGCCTGCGTTTGTTTGGAGTCAGGGGGGCGGGGTGGGTGGTTGGCTTTCCAGCAATACTCCTTGTAAATAAAAAGAAACATTTCTTTTTGCTTTTTCCCCCCTTCCATCTTAAAAAAGATAATCTAGCTTTTCTTAAAATTACTTTTTTTTTTTTTCCTTTGTGTTCTAAGGGTTCTCTTACCATTCTCTTTGTTAAAAAACCAAAAATTAAATCCTTAACTTTAGATCTCTCTAGTTAATGTTCTCCTCTTGTTTCTTTGTCCCAACAGAGAGTATTTTTAACACAAACTTGTGTAGATGGAATATACATCAAATTACCATTTTTCCAGGAAAAGACACCTTTAAAAATTAATAGTTTTTTTTTTTCGAATCCTTTTGTAATTTCACTTAATTTCCCCCCCCTACCCTCAGCTTGTAGAAGTTATTGGTTTTCCTTCTTTTGCCCTTTCTAGTTTGTCTGTTTGGAGACAGAGGTGTGCATGTCAAAATTTTCCATGCTCTTTTTTTGGATAAAACTCCTAAAGTCCTAAAATTAGTCATAACACACAGATTTAAGGTTGAGTTTATTTGTAATGCACATGCTTGCAGAATATTTTATGTAACTAAATATCAATGTTTATTCACCAGAATTACTTTTCCTTTCTTACTACAAACAAATTGAGGTTAAGGGGAAAGTTGAGATGAATAAATAGATGCCAATTAAAATGAGAAACTGCTAAACTTAAACCAGCTCATCTGTTTCATTTTTTTCTTTATTGCTGATATTAAGTTTCAGTGAACAACCAACTTTTTCTAGCAAATAGTTCCTAGAGCACAAGCTTGCACTAGGGTGCCTTGTAAAACATTATAGGCATTTTGTAGTTCGGAGCATCCTCATCTAGAGCCTATTAAATAGAGGAAAAGCTGTCCCTTGACTTCTGAGCCTTTATATGAGACCCTCAAGCCAGATTCTTCTTACTTACTTGTTAGATACCAGTCTCCTAAGTATGTGGGAAGAGAGAGAAGAGGTTCAAGAAGCCAATTCAGCCTGTCAAAGATGTGCATCACTCTCTCCATCAGCCTGTCAAAGACGTGCATCACTCTCTCCACCAGCCAAATCAGGAGCTCACGGGGGCTTTTGCTCACTCCATGCCTAAGGTTCAGTGGTGTGGGTGGGTGCTGAGTCCTCGTAATGATGTTGGGTACTCTGCTAAAAAGTTTTTTTCCACAGTTCTTTGCTTCTGCCTCACAGGGTGGTTTATGTTGTGTCAGCACAACCTGGGCAGTGTAGTTGCACAGGATGTTACATCTTTGGAGAGACTTTGGGGATGAATCAGTCTCCCATCCTTACTGCATGCAAGCAGATAGGGCAGTGACCAATTCTGCTGAGAGATGTAATTCCTTATGTGTTTTGGTTTGCAAGGCTAGAGGATGGCTTGTTGATATCTCAAGTGCATTTAGAAAAATCTCTTTAATGTTCTCAAAACAAGGCTTGAGACTGAATGAGTCTGAATAGTGCTGTCCAGTGTGCAAGCATGGACCCTTGTAGGTTCTCATTTAGGTTCCTGCTCCAGCAGGGGGATTGGACTAGATGATCTTTCGAGGTCCCTTCCAATCCCCAACATTCTGTGATTCTGTGATTCTGTGATTCTGTGACACATGGAACATTGATGGCATGCTTTTGTTCTAATAGTTGTAAGGAATGGGATTTTTAAATACTAAAATGATTCCTGAACAGGCATATTCATGCCTTCAGTTAAGTTCCTCAGGGCAACAAAGGTGATTATGAATTATGATTTAAAGGGAGATTTTGACAGTTTAGCTTTTGGCTTAGGTTTCTACCTCTGCATTTCTTTTCATGATGAAGAACTGATGCACATTGACAAAGAAAAAAAATCTGTGGGTGTTAAGCATGCTGCCTTTCAGTCATTGAGCCACATAGGTGTATAAAATGCCCTGGGTTATTATAAATCTATCCTAGAGTCTCATGTAAAATGCATGGGCATCATGTGGCAGCACCTGTATTTAATCCATCTGAACTGATGTTTGAAACATTTAATTAACTTATGATTTTTGGGGATAAATGTGATGGAAAATAATAATTTCAGGGTAGAAATACTGGTTTTGAGGTTTTACTTAATACAGCTGGCTTTAGACTTTTGATTTGGTTTAGGCCAACTTCTAGTGCACCTAAGAATTATACAAAGCCATGGACGCTCAATTTCTTACTATACGTATATTCAGAAGGGTGAAAATCCTGGCTAGGTTAATTCTATTATCTGCTTGTGTCTGAGAGTAACTGTCATTCTGGAAGGTGTCCTCCAGGAATATGAGAATTAACATACTAGATGATACTCAGGATGGGGATTCAGCTTGCCCTGACTTCAGGTGGAACTCAGTGATGGATTTATAGACACCTAAATTTAGGTATCTAGGGTAAGATTAATAGCGTAGATTCCTGTAATTGCTTAGTTCAGTATAGACTCCTCTGATTATTAACTAACTTTCCCTTAGCTACAGTAGGAGTTTTGTTATCTGGGGCACCTGAAATAATAGACCCCTGCTTTCAGCTTTCTGAAATCACCTCGATTCAGGTGCTGAATCAAGTACTTTTTGTTGAATGTGCATCTTCTGAAAGTGGTCATTTCGAAAGGGAAGAAAAGCCTGGAAAGCCTACTGCAATTCTTAGTAATTAGAAATTGGCTGGAAATGAGACTTTATATTCCAGCCAATAACATTTATCACTAGGATTCTGAATATGCTTGCAAAAATGTCTAATATAATAAATTTTTGCTGATTTCTTGGTTTTAGTGATGCTAAAGACCATGTAGACCATAAAGACTAATTATTTATTCTCTGGAAAAATACTTCCTTGGGGAACTCTTAATTAAGTATTCTCTACCTAGTGTTGTGAGGCAAAGGCAGCAAAAACCTATAAACCTTCTGTTCTTTATTTTTTTTATACTTCCTTTGATTTCACTGTTTCCAAGGTAAATAATCGTTGTAAACATTTTTCTATACTCTTACCT